TGGTCTGGGATAAGGATTATTATCTTGTTTCCAGACTGGTGGGGAATACTATGTACAAGATGAACAATCACAATAAAGTCATTCAGCTGGAGTTGATGGCAATATCCTCTGTATGTGCGGGGAGAAAAAAAAGCACACTCGAAAAAGCTACCCAGTTTTCACTGTAACACTTCTTTCAGTTTGGTTCCTGTAATACTTTCTTTGTCTACATTTTGTGGAGGGAATTGGTTCCATGCCTGCAATGTCCTTGGCTTTCTCTTGTCATATCACTTGCTCTGTGATTTCAAATAAATGTTGGAAGAGAAGAAAAAAAAGATTTCCCATCAGTTGCCATATTTAAGATGAAAGAAAAAATTTATAAGTTGTAAATTACTTTATTCTTTAGTAACTTTCCTTCTGTTTATGTGCAATAATGTTTGTGAATTCTGCTACTGAGAGATTGTATTGTGAGTAATCATATATACTTCCATTCCTATTTAAAAGGTAGTTTGTAGACTTAGGGATTTTCATTGGCATAAAGCACAATTTAATGAATTATTTAATGTGTTTAACCATTGTGATGTCAAAAGCAATTGTTTTCATATATTTATTTGTTGGTGATTTTCTGTAAAATGATGCTCATTAAGAATCTGTTAAAAATGAAGTTTTGTTGAATATTGTTGGGTCCATAAATTAGTTATGAGAACAAATAAACATTGATTGTGTTTTTGAAACACTAAAGATTCTATCTTATCTACATAGCCATAAAAATTACTGAAAATGTTTCATGTCATATTAAAAATCTACTGTGTGTTTTTAACAAAATGTACATGGAGGAAAATCATATTACTGTAATTTATTATTTAATTATATAAGGGTCCAATACCGAATCTTTTGCTTCCAACTGGACTTTGTTTCTGCTCCAAGCACTGAGGATCAGTCCAAACTGTCAGGATAATCTCCTGAGCTCTGTGGGGAATAATGGGAAGCTGTAGTCTATTGCTGCACTGTTAGCCTTGTACTGCTTGTTTGCTCTTGAAGTCTACCTATATGAAAGCTGTGGGGTAGCCCTGTATGGTAGGGAGTGTTCTGACTCTTCAGAGTTTGCTGATGGTGATGAAAAGAATGTTTATGAGTAAGAATCATAAACCTTCATGTTGGGAAAGGCCAACAATATCTTGGTGAGGGTCTGTTACAAACCAGCCAACCAGGCTGAAGAGGCGGATAAAATATTCCATAAGCAGCTGGGGGAAGACTCACAAATGTTAGCATTTGCTCTTATGGGGGACTTGAACTTACCAGAGATCTTCTGTAAATACAATACAGTGGAGAGGCAGCATGGAAGCGTTCTCTTCCTGGAGCAGAACTTCCTGATAGAGCTGGTGAGGGACCCAGGCAGGGCCTCGCTGGAGGTGCTGTGTGTGAGCAGAGAAGGACTGGTGGGTGACGTGGTGGCTGGAGACTGTCCTGGGCACAACGATCATGAAGTGATAGTTTTCAATTCTTGAAGAAGTAAGATGTGAGTCAACAGAACTCTTACCTTGGGTCCGGAGGGCAGACTTTGGGCTGTTGTGGAGCCTGGTTGACAAAGTCCCTTGGGAAACAGTCCTGAAAGGCAAAGAAGTACAGGAAGGTTGGACATTCTTCAAGAAGGATGTTCTAAAGGCACAGGAGCAGACTGTCCCCATATTCTGAAAGTTGATTCAGCAGGGAAGAACCCCAGCCTATTTGAACAGAGAGCTTTGACTGGAACCTGGGGAAAAGTAGAGAACTTTAGAAAAAAAAGCAGGTGACTCAGGAGGACTATAAGGATATTGTGAGGTTACACAGGGAGAAAATTAGAAGGGTGAGAGCCTAGCTACAACCAAATCTGGCTACTGCCATAAAATACAATAAAAATGTTTCTCTAAGTACATTATCAATAAAATCCTTTATTGGATGTGGGTGAAAACAGTGATGAAGGATGAGGAAAAGGCTGAGGTACTTAAGAACAGTTGTTTTCAGGATATCCAGCCCCCTGAGCTGGGAGGCAGGGATCAGGAACAGAAGGTTGCCCCCATACTCCAAGGGAAAATGGTCAGCAGCCTGCTACACTCTCAGATACACAGAATTATGTGGGGCTGGGTGGGATCCACCTGAATGTACTGAGGGAGCTGGCAGAAGGACTCACGGAGCCACTTTCCATCATTTATCTGCAGTCCTGACTAACCAGGGAGGTCCTAGTTGACTGGAGGTTGACAACTGTGACATCCATCTACAAGGAGAGCTGGAAGAGGGATCTATAGGTCTGTCAGCCTGACCTCAGTGCCAGGGAAGGTCAAGGTGCACATCAACTCCAGTGCTATTTTACAGCATGTACAGGACAACCAAAGCATGAGGCCCAGCCAGCACGGGTTTGTGAAAGACAGGTCCTGTCTGACCAACCTGATCTCCTTTTATGAAAAAGTGACCCACACAGTGGATGAGGGAAAGGCTATGAACTAAAAATTAGGAAAAAATAACGTACAATTATGCATATGCCTTGCAACAGGACTGTGTTAGATAGTGTTTTGCAGCCCCTTTCCATGTCACCAATGAAATCCCTACTGCAACTAAACATTTTCCTGCCACTCATACCACTTTGAGGAAACAAAAGAGTTGGATAGCTTTGTAATCTCCAGATTTCTCCAAATTGTGTTGGTGCTATCTCACTGCTTGCTTGGTTCTTGATGTGAAACTAATTTAGTTCCTGGGAGACAGATGCCAGCCTCCATAAACCCACACTATTGTTTGAAACCAGACTCCCAGAAGCCACTGTCTGAGTGGACCCAAAGGCTGGATCCTGAGAGGGAAGGCAAGATGGCATGGGGAGTTCATACTACTGAGGAGCAATACAGGCTGCTAAACAGAATAATCCAGTGCTGCTTATGGTGCCCTGGAGTTGTCCATCTGACCTTCAGCTGCTGCTCCAGAAGGCTACAGATGTCAGAATAGAGACTTTGTTATATATGCAAACCCAGTGCAGATGTCTCAGATACTTGCAGGTCTCCAACTAACAGTGTCTCTCCTTGAGAGCTATGCTTAGAAGCCTAAACTTCTCTTGCAGGGTTTTTAGCATTTGGGTGTTTCACTTGAGACAAGTGATCTGCAAACTGAAAGTCCATCATCTTCACCAGTTCTGAGCACAAAATTACATGTGCTGCAGGGTAGTGTGAGAGAAAATGAATGTTGCTGTGTTTCTGTGTCCTGCACTTTAGTAAGCGTAGTTATAAAGCAGGAGCAGCAAGATAATAAGTGAAATAAATATCTGTATTGCTGATAAATACTACTATATAGCCAAAGGAGAAATTGATTTTGCCACCAGGAGACAGATAATTTTTTTGCCACATACATGGTTACATCTCAAGAAGTACATCAGAATATTGTGCTGTTATGTGCAGTTTATGTCACAGTTAAAAGCAAGAGTAAGACTCAGCATTGCTGGGCAGTATTACATATGACTGAAGAAAGGCTGGGGTTTTTAAGATTTCATTCACATTTATTTCTGTTTTATCTCTAGATGCTACCCAAGGTGTGACACCTTTCAACATTTGCTAAGAAATTTGTGAGTATGCTGCTCACATTCTGAATAAAATTCAGAGCATGAGCAACTGAGATTAGATAATATGGAGATAAATCAATGACCTATAAATCTCACCATCCTGTAAGAGCCTAGAGTGATGTAAATGTGTAGCAGTGAGAGGACATAAGGGCTGCCCTTCTCAGACATGGAAGCTGCTGCAGGAATTTTTCCACTGGGTAAGCAGCTCACCATTTCATTGTGACACACATTGAATGAGACTCCTTTCACATAAGTAAAGATCAGCTGGCAGCCAATGTCCTCAGGCAACCCCTGGGGATCGCCCTATGGGTGATGGGGGCAAATGTACTTTTATCAGGCATGAGCATCTGGACTGCTTTGGACATTTATGATAGCTAAGAAGAGTCTCATCCCAGAAATGTGCCTTTTCCATCTCTCTTCATAGAAGGGGAAACAATCCCCAAATATACTTTTGAGAAGGTAGAACCTCAACTATGCCAAAGAATGATGGGGCAGCATTCACTTTCGAAAAGATTTTGCTTGGAATGGAATTAAGGCTTCCAAGTGGATAGGTCTAGAAACATTTGAAGATGCAACAAAGATCAGAGGGGGAGATTTAAGGACTGAGAA